CGGATAAGGCCCAAATGTTACAGCAACGACAGCAGCAGCAGCCGCAGCAGCTTTTGCTGCCAACTGAAATGAACAATCTGGTCAGCTTTATTTGATTTTGGCCAATTCGAAATGCTCTCGAATATTTAGTCAAACAAAACGGTTTGAATTAAAGATTAATTGATAGCGAGTGCGAGTGTGTGTGTGTGTGGGCATGTTACCTCTGTTCTTTCTTCAACAACATTTTACCTGTGTTTTTTAATTCATAGTAATAAATAGTCCAAAGCCCACAGAGAGACTGACCCATTGACCAAACGAGGCCATCAATGCAATTTAAAATAATCGAAAGCTACGCCCACGTTTAACAGCCATAAATTGATTAGATGAAAGAGAGAGAAGGGGAGAGTGAGAGAGCGAGAGTGAGATAGAGAGAGAAGAGTTGTACACTCGATACACAGCGAGGCAGACTCAGGCAAATGGCAATTTAAATTTGTATTATATAGCTTCATAATTAATGAAAAATATGGCATAGCTTCTGCTCTGGCAGCCTCTGTTCTGCGTCGTGTTTTCACGCCGCGTCTGGAAATTGCTCTCGAAAAAAAAAAACTAATTAAATGCATAACTGTGCGTGAGCCAATGGAAGCACAAGTTGCTATGACAACATAGATGTTAATTATGACCCAGCGCCGTCGATCTCCAACTCCGACGTTGACCGGAACTGCGCTTCGTCTAACAGAGCCAGCAAAAAAACAGAAGAAGAAAACAAATCCACCACCAGAGTGAGAGAGCAGCAGCTGCTGTTCACATTGGTCCGGAATTAAACCAACATTATGGTACATTATCTGCTGCAAGCCCAAAGCTCCGATAGCTCCATTTAACAACAAACATAGACGTAAAGTTCTCTCTCTGTCGCAGTCTGTGAAGCGTACGAATATTTATATTCTGCACGGCAGCAGCAGCAGCAGCGACGGCGACGGCGACGGCAGCGGCAGCAGCAGCCAAATTAAAACTCAATAAAAAATTTGAAATTTATAAAAAACAAAATAATCAAAACGAGGGCTGCCACAAAAGTTGGAAATTGTGATAACTGATTAACGGCGGAGTATCCGAAATATATAGAGGTAAATATTAGATATATTGTACATACATACAAATATTAAATCTTCTATATATACGCATAACAGCTTTTGAAACGTTCTGCAATCTAATAAATTTTAATTTTGAATGTTAAATTGATAATATTAATTAAACTCTAGTTCCCTAGAGACAGAATGTGAGCAACAAGAGTTAGCATTCTAATTTACAAACGGGAATATAATATATGTTTGCCTACATTTCTTAATTTATTTATACAAGACGATTTTTATGTTTATAGTCATCGCTATACACACATCATTGCCAGCGGTTTCTTGATGACTCACTGGAATGAAAGCAAGTAGTATATTTGTTTTCTTTTCTAAGTATTTGACCAACTTAAATATATATAGAGATATATATTGCGAAAATTTTGTCGTAACCCACCCGTGATAATTTTACAAAACACACTCCAATGGGAGAACATTCAACAATTGATGTTGTTTTGAGTTCAAAGTTATGGGCTTCAGTTCCAGTCTGCATGGGAGTTGCCCCGGCTATAGCCTATAACAACCCATATATCAACAAATACACACATACATATGCTAGTCACACACACACACATACATATTCATGTATTTAGACAACAATCAACCCTGTAAACCTACCTGTTGTTTGGTGTTTTGGTGTCGCTGGCTGTGTTGATCTCCTGAATGCATGAATGATTCCCGAACAGAGCAGAGCAACCGCATTAACAATAATGACACCAGAAAACAATTGAAATAATTCTAGCATAAACTTTTAGCCAGCGTTTGCCAACAACGGGTACAATACATTTATTTTTTTTAGTTTTCGTTACAGCGTCAAGGAGTCTGTGTGGTATATTGCAGCGGAGAACAAACCAGAAAAAAAATCAGCAAAAATTCTGCAAAAATAGTCCAAGAGTAAATGCTTCCTAATATGTGCTAGAGAGTGAGAGAGACCTTCCAAAGATGCAACTATTTCGACTTTTCCACTGGCTGCTGTTTACTTGGCTCAGCTTGTGGGGCTGCTGGGCCCAACAGACGCATATTAAACTGGAGCAAGGCGATCTGATTGGTGTGAGTATAAAATTAATATTCAAATATGTATACCAGTTGAACTTTTGCTTCTCTTTCAGCTGAAAGTTTTTCCAGACGGAGCACGAAGTGCTGTCTATGCATTTCTGGGAATACCTTATGCACAGGCGCCTTTGGGATCGCTACGATTTGCGGTAGGTTTAATTTATTCCCCTATACTGTATTTTTACAGTGATATCGTATGTAATTGTAACATATCCTTTAACAGACTGTAATATTGATTTGAGCAGACTGTTAAGCAGAATAATCGATATCAATCAATCATCAATAAGTAGTATAATCTCTTAAATTTCAAATATTTCTCTTTCATTTAGGCCGCCAAGCCACATAATGGGTGGAACTGGACGCTTCAAGCCACAGCGATGCAGCCCATTTGTCCGCAATTAACCAATACGATTTATGACGAGAGCGCCGATGGCAGCATATCCCGTGCTGCAAGCAACAGCGAGGACTGCCTCTATCTAAACATCTGGACACCTGAGTCGGGCTTGCGTTATGGAAAATTGCCAATTCTGGTTATCATTAGCGGAGAGGATTTTGCCTATGACTGGCCGCGTAATCGCATAAATGGCATGGACTTCGCCGCCGCCGAGGGCATTGTTGTGGTCAGCGTGCAGTATCGCAACAATATTTATGGGTGGCTGGGGTTGGGTCAGGATCATCGCCAGCTGCCGGGCAACTACGGATTGAGTGATATTCAAATGGCGCTGCGTTGGTTACAACGCAATGCGGTCAGTTTTGGAGCCAATGCCGATCAATTGACGCTGCTCGGCCATGGTAGCGGAGCTACTTTGGCATTAGCCATCGCACTGCAGCCTGCTCCTGATGGTACTTCGTTGTTCAAGCAACTGATTCTGATGTCCCCGGGTCCTGTGCTGTACGCCTTGAGTGCTGGCCATCAGCAGCGCATTGTGGCCACGGGTCGCACTCTCGTACATAAGCTGGGCTGTCAGTTTGAGGAGGCTCAGCATCGTCAGCTGCTGAGCTGCCTACGCCGCAAGAGCTCCGAGGATTTACTGCGTGCCTACGAAAGCGTCTATAATCACGGCAATGCCAGCATGCAGCTGGGCGTGCAGCTGCCCCATTCTGATGATTTGGAGCAGCGTTTGACTAATGTTTCTCTGCCACCTATGCTTCTGGGCATTGGCTCCAATGAGGGCGCCTTCATGCAGGATTACTGGCTGGATGTGGCACGCGATGGCCAGCAGGCCCTGCACAGCTATATCAATGGAACGCTGCTGCCAAATGTCCTACGCTCAATGAATCCACAGCTGGAGGCGGGTGCGAGCGACACTCAACTGGCAGCCATTCGCTGGCGTTACTTCAGCGACGATGCCTCGGTCACTCAGCTGCTGTGGGGCATGCAGCGACTGCTGTCCGAGGCACTCTATGAGACGCCCTTCCTGCGCCTGCTGCAGCTACTCAACAATAGCAGCAGCGTTAGCTACGCCTATGTCTTTGACCAGTCCCATGCCCATGCGATGGACATGCGCGGCAGACAGAATCTGTTTGGCGGCGCCTCGCATAGCGCCGACCTGCCGCTCCTGCTCGGTCCTAGCTTATTCCAGCAGATTGCGCGTCGCCGGTTTAGCGCCGAGGAGGAGCAGTTGTGCCGCAAGTTGCGCGGCTCCTTCGCCAACTTTGTCAAGGGTGGTAATCCCACACCCGGACGCATTTACGATGCCTGGCAGCCGTACACACAGCAACGTCCCTTTATCTATGCCCTGGGTGAGCTGACCAAGAGTTTAGAGCTGCCAACCAGCGAGGATGAGGCCGCCATTGAAGAACTACTAAGCGGTAAACAGCAAATTGGGGTCGGCACAGATCGCAGCTTGTCCAGGACAAACCGACATGACAACTATCGGCAGGGCAATGTCAACTCGTATGTGACCAACAACCAGCTAGATTCCGGTTACGGCAATCATTTGCGACGCGTTTATGGCTTTTGGCAGGTGCTATTGCCTTCCACTCAGGATGGCGAACTCCGCGATGGCAGTGGCGGTCTCTTGACGCAGCGTGTGAAGCTCTTGGAGGCCAATGCGGATGCGGCACGCTATCGCCAAGGTTTTTATGCCATGCTGGGACTCGTGTGCCTCCTCCTTGGCTGCCTCGGCTTGTGTGTCTATCTGCTGCGGCGCGAGTTGCCATTCAGCGGACGCATCTCATCAGGAGAGCCTTCTTATGGTTTATGACAAAAGTGGTTTCGTTGGACGACCATCTTTGGACGCAACGCCAAGCATGGGACTGACACAAGCGTGGCCAATGTCGAGTCCTGGCGCAAAGGTGGTCGGACAACGAAACATGAGCGAGAACGAGAGCGAGAGCGAGAACGAGAACCTGCACCGATTAACCGGATGCGACGTCCAAGACAGTTGCAACCGTACGATGATCCATCAGCGGGTAACAAGGCTACAAACATTGCCCGAGTTACCGGAATTGGAACAGGAGGAAGAGCAAGAGATGGCTGCGGCGACGGAGCAACAGCTAATGGAGATGAGGCAACTGCTGCGGAACTCATGGACACTGTCCGCAACAAATACGAGCAAAATATGGCTATTAAGAACTGGCAATACCAGTTGACTTGTGATAAGTTTTAAGCATTACCAAAGAATCTATTTGAAGTGAAACATTTCGTATATGTTTAAGTATTTACTTATTTACATTATTATTTCTTTGAATAAAGATATAAATTGCGTAATTTCAAATTTAAATTAGCGCGCATTTGCTATTCATAACAGCCCCGTTTAATTTATGATTCATTGTTTTGAATAATATTTGTATCGATATATCGAAACGGTGTCGTATCGATGTGTTCGTTACTTTCATCGATACATTTGGTGTTGTCTTCAAATACACGTGCTGCACGCGGCTGGTTAAAGGAATCTATTAATTGTAAATTTAAGACAAAATTACCTTAAAATGGGTGCAAGAAGACCGCCAGAAGTGCACATGTTTCCTTCGGACCTGGAGTTCGCTGTGTTCACACCCGAGGAGATACGGAAACTGAGCGTGGTTAAAATAATCACTGGCCTCACATTTGATGCATTGGGACATCCAATACCCGGTGGCCTATACGACATTCGATTGGGCTCCTATGGCCGCTGCATGGATCCCTGCGGCACATGTCTTAAAATGCAAGACTGTCCCGGCCATATGGGTCACATTGAACTCGGCTCACTGGTCTACAATCCGTTCTTCATTAAACTGGTGCAGCGATTATTATGCATCTTCTGTCTGCACTGTCACAAGCTGCAAATGAGAGGTGAGTGATAAAACAGAAGTGAAATTAATTTACTAATTCGATTTCCCTAGATCATGAAAGCGAGATTATCATGCTTCAGTTGCGTCTGATTGACGCTGGCTATATTATTGAAGCGCAAGAACTGGAGCTGTTTAAATCAGAAGTTGTTTGCCAAAACACAGACGAGATGGTGAAACTGGACAATGGCGATGCTGTGCATCCGCGCATCGCAGCGGTCCAAGAGATGTTGGCCAAGAATGTAAGCAATGCCAGCAATGCTACTAAAACAAGCTGCTCCTTGCGCACAGCCATTACGCATGCTGCTCTGCAACGTGGCTCCAGCAAAAAGTGTCGGCACTGCAACAAGTCCATGCGCTTTGTGCGCTACTTGCATCGCCGTCTTGTCTACTATGTGACCATTGCTGATATGAAGGAACGGTGAGTTTGCGCCTGTAGTTACCAATTGGTAGACATTTTGTAATTCAATTCTTTTCATATCACAGAATAGGCGATGTGCCCGAAAGCAGTGGCCAGAACAAGGTTATATTTGCCGATGAGTGCCGGCGCTATCTGCGAAAGATCTATGAAAACTATCCGGAATTTCTGAAGCTACTTGTGCCGGTGCTAAACCTGAACAGCAGCGAGTCAAGCCCCAGCGAAGATTACTCGCCCGTTGATATATTTTTCATGGATACGATACCAGTTACACCGCCGCGTGCCCGCCCAATGAACGTTATTAACGACATGATGAAGGGGAATCCGCAGACGGACATCTATGTAAACATAATTGAGAACAATCATGTCCTCAATGTGATACTCAAGTTTATGAAGGGACAGCAGGACAAATTGAATGACGCAGCTAGAGCAGCCTATCAAAACATGCGCGGCGTTAGCGGACATGAGAAGCTCTATAATGCATGGCTGTCGTTGCAGAGCTCGGTGGATGTGTTGCTCGACGTCAACTTGTCGCGCGACATCAAGTCCGCCGAGGGCCTTAAACAAGTGCTGGAAAAGAAGGAGGGTCTCATACGTAAGCACATGATGGGCAAGCGCGTCAATTACGCCGCGCGTACCGTCATCACACCCGACCCCAATATCGATGTGGATGAGATCGGTATACCGGACATATTTGCGCGCAAGCTCTCCTATCCGGTGCCGGTTACCGAATGGAATGTCATTGAGTTGCGAAAAATGGTGATGAATGGACCAGATGTGCATCCGGGCGCCAACTACATACAAGACAGCAAAGGCTTGACCACCTATATACCCGCCGACAATGCGGCCAAGCGCGCCAGTATGGCTAAACTGTTGCTGTCCAATCCTAAGGATGGCGTCAAAATTGTCCATCGCCATGTTCTAAATGGTGACGTGCTGCTGCTCAATCGTCAGCCTTCGCTGCACAAGCCCTCAATTATGGCGCACAAGGCCCGCATATTGCATGGCGAAAAGACCTTCCGCCTTCACTACTCCAACTGCAAGGCCTACAATGCTGATTTCGATGGTGACGAGATGAATGCGCACTATCCCCAAAGCGAAGTAGCACGCGCCGAAGCCTATAACCTTGTGAACGTGGCCAGCAACTACCTGGTGCCCAAGGACGGCACTCCACTGGGAGGCCTTATTCAGGATCAGGTTATTTCGGGCGTGAAACTGTCCATACGCGGTCGCTTCTTCAACCGCGAGGATTATCAGCAGTTGGTCTTCCAGGGCCTGTCGCATCTTAAGGGCAATGTCAAGCTACTGCCACCGTCTATACTGAAGCCCGCAATATTGTGGTCTGGAAAGCAAGTACTTTCAACTATAATCATTAATCTGATACCGGATGGATATGAGCGCATCAACTTGGATTCCTTTGCCAAAATTGGCGGCAAGGTAAGTAATGGGAGCTCAGCGCATCTTGTAACCTATTTACAAACCCACTTACTTCTTGCAGAACTGGAATGTGGCCAGGTCGCGTAAGCCTTTGTGTGGCTCAACTCCCCAGGAGCAAGAGTTGAGTGAGAGTCAGGTGCAAATACGTAACGGCGAGCTTCTTGTGGGCGTGCTCGACAAGCAGCAGTATGGCGCAACCACCTTCGGTCTGATCCACTGCATGTACGAGCTGTATGGCGGTGATGTGTCCACGCGTCTGCTCACCGCCTTCACAAAGGTATTCACCTTCTTCCTGCAGCTCGAGGGCTTCACGTTGGGCGTCAAAGATATTTTGGTAACCGAAGAGGCGGACCGCAAGCGCCGCAAGATCATTCACGAGTGCCGCGATGTGGGAAATAGCGCCGTTGCTGCTGCCCTGGAGTTGGACGATGTGCCGCCACACGACGAGCTGGCCGAGCAAATGGAGGCTGCCTATGTTAAGGATGCAAAGTTCCGAGTTCTGCTCGATCGCAAATACAAATCTATGTTAGATGGCTACACTAATGACATTAACAAGTGAGTGGGCAATCGGCTATATAAAGGCTGAGTTATCATATTTTTTTATGAATTCTTTAGAACTTGTCTGCCTGGTGGGCTCATCAGCAAGTTTCCATCAAACAATCTGCAATTGATGGTTCTATCGGGCGCGAAAGGATCCATGGTTAACACCATGCAAATCTCTTGCCTGCTTGGTCAAATTGAGCTGGAAGGTAAACGACCTCCGTTGATGATATCTGGCAAATCTCTGCCCAGTTTTACGTCATTTGAGACATCCCCGAAATCGGGCGGCTTCATTGATGGTCGCTTCATGACAGGAATACAGCCGCAGGACTTTTTCTTTCACTGCATGGCTGGTCGTGAAGTAAGTTTATACATTAAAATTTTGATATGAGAGCTTTCTTAATAACGCATCATTCTCTTTAAAAACAGGGTCTCATCGATACAGCTGTGAAAACATCCCGTTCCGGTTATCTGCAGCGCTGTTTAATCAAGCACTTGGAGGGGTTGAGCGTGCATTATGATCTGACTGTGCGCGATAGTGACAATAGTGTGGTGCAGTTTCTTTACGGCGAGGATGGTCTGGACATACTAAAGGCCAAGTTCTTTAACGGAAAGTTCTGCGCTGACTTCCTTACACAAAACGCTAAGGCCGTTTTGCGGCCCAGCCAGCTGCAGCTGATGAAGGATGAAGAGTGCCTCGCCAAAGTAAAGCGCCACGAGAAGCACATTAAAAGCTGGCAGAAGAAGAAGCCAGCGAAATTGTATGCGGCATTCACACACTTTTCGAAGGAGCTTCGTAACGATGTGGAAGTTGACCGACCCAATGAGATAAATACCAAGACGGGACGCAGACGGTTCGATGAGGGGCTGCTCAAGCTGTGGAAGAAGGCGGATGCTGAAGACAAGGCACTGTATCGCAAGAAGTATGCACGCTGTCCCGATCCTACCGTTGCCGTATACAAACAAGACAATTACTATGGTTCAGTTTCGGAGCGCACACGTCAATTAATCGAGGACTATGCAGCCAAGCATCCAGCACAGAAGCATATCATTTCTGACATTATGCACATGAAGAGCATTAAGGCGCTAGCGTCGCCTGGCGAACCAGTGGGTCTGATTGCAGCTCAGTCGATTGGCGAGCCGTCCACCCAGATGACACTGAATACTTTCCATTTTGCTGGCCGTGGTGAAATGAACGTCACTCTGGGTATACCGCGCCTTCGCGAAATTCTCATGTTGGCGTCCTCAAATATCAAGACCCCTTCAATGGATATACCAATCAAGCCGGGACAGCAACTAAATGCGGAGAAGCTGCGCATTTCGCTCAACTGTGTGACTCTGGCCAGTCTGCTGGAATGTAAGTTTTATTTAAACAATTGAAAAATGGAATTCCCCATATAAATATGCTGTTCTATCACCATATAGCCGTGCACGTTAACACAAGCCTGACCCTGGAACCCGAACGAGCATATGTCTACGACTTGCACTTTAAATTCCTACCACGCGAGATGTACAAGGAGGATTTCTGCGTGAAGCCTAAGCGTATTATCAAATACATGCATCAGACGTTCTTCAAGCAGCTTATTCGTGCTATTCTAAAGGTGTCCAATGCCAAGAAGACTTCAAAAATGTAAGCCAGTATTTGATTTTCTGCGAATTCAACAACTAACCTTAATAATTCCACAGCGTCGTGGTAGATGAGAAAAAGGAGGGTGGCAACAGACAGGACGAAGACAATGATCAAGAGTTGGATGCTGCTGATGATGTTGGTCCACAAAAAGTAGCAGACAATGATGACGACTCCTCAGATGATGGCGTGAGTAAAGAAATTTATAATAGATGCAAATAGAATTTAATACTGTAAACAATTTATCTGCGTTAGGGTGACGATGATGCAACTGGCATTAAGCTTAAGCAGCGTAAGACCGACGAAAATGACTATGACGATCCGGATGATGTTGAAGAAATTATAGATGCCAATGGTAAATATAAGGCATTCATTTTAAAATATCTTAACTTTTATATTTCTTATATTTATTTTGTAGATGACGAAGACGAGCACGATGAAGAGGATGCAGACGGAAATGAACAAGCAAACGAAGAAAATAATGAAGTGGATGACAAGTCGGTGGAAAAGCTACTGAGCAACCAAATGGTGCAGGATTACACCTACGACAAAGATCAGCATCTTTGGTGCCGAGTGAAGCTTAATCTCAGCGTGCGCTACCAGAAGCCTGATCTGACATCTATTATACGTGAATTGGCCGCTAAGAGCATTGTACATCAAGTGCCGCATATAAAGCGCGCTATAATCTACAAGGGCAATGATGATGAGCAACTGTTGAAAACAGATGGAATCAACATTGGTGAAATGTTCCAGCACAACAAAATCCTGGATCTGAATCGTTTGTACTCTAACGATATTCATGCTATAGCACGTACATATGGCATAGAAGCTGCGACCCAGGTCATTGTCAAGGAAGTCAGCAATGTGTTCAAGGTTTACGGAATTACCGTGGATCGCAGGCATTTGTCACTGATTGCCGACTACATGACCTTTGATGGCACTTTCCAGCCGCTCTCACGCAAAGGCATGGAACACTCTTCTTCGCCGCTACAGCAAATGTCCTTCGAATCGAGCTTGCAGTTCCTGCGCAGCGCAGCCGGCTTTGGTCGCCCTGACGAGCTAAATTCACCATCAAGTCGTCTAATGGTGGGCTTACCTGTGCGAAACGGCACTGGTGCCTTTGAATTGTTAACCAGAATATGCTAATTGTAAATTAACATTTGTTTAAATAAATACTGGTTCCATTTTTAAGCCAATAATCGATACCTTTAGCCGAAAGATATTTTTAATCGATAGATTTGTGAACAGCTGATTTGATATGCAATATTGACATCTCTAACTGTCAGCTAGCAAAATAACTTGTTTTTCAGTCTAGAATTTTAGCAAAATCGAAATCCTAGTACAAGATGTTGAGTTCAATGGTTAAAGAGCACCATTCTAAACAATCAAAGCGCAAGCAGGAGCAAGAAGTGCGTCGCAAAGAAGCCATTGAAGCTTCCAACGAACTGACCCAGGCATTAGTGGACCATCTGAATGTTGGGTAAGCATGCTTTGCAGAAAATTACTTATATTATGCTCATATTGCACTTATTATAAAATAGAGTGGCGCAAGCATACTTAAATCAAAAGCGTTTAGATGTGGAAGCCAAACAGTTGCATGTGGGTGCTACCAACTTTGCCAAACAGACGCATCAATGGCTGCAATTAATTGACAACTTTAGTAGCGCTCTGAAGGAACTCGGTGATGTAGAGAACTGGGCGCGAAGCATTGAAGGAGATATGCAAGTTATACAGCAAACTTTGGAACTAGCATACAAAACGTCTCGAGCAACGCAGGCCACAACAGGTACTGCAACGACGTCAGCGACATCTTCTGCAGGTGCAGCAGCCGCGAATCCATGAGTTACGTTTTCGTAGATGACAAATATGAGCCGCCATATAAAGGCATACGTGAACTGATTTACGTTTATTATTGTTTAATTTATTGTATAATTACCATAAAACTATTAACAGTGTATGAAAATGACGTGTGATTGCCAACAAATGCATTTAAATACATATTGCACACGTACAGCACATTTAACATGTAATTTAGTTTACATTAAAAAGTATTTTGTTAGTTTGATTAGTTTATTGTTATCAATTTACGCAGTTGCTTTTAAAATACATATCACAATGTGTTTTACGCGTGTTAAGTTTTGAGGATGGAACGCGTAATATACACGGATGCTTTCTATGTGGTGACAACGTTCTACAAAACGTACCCAACGATATTGACAAACTATCAACTAATTGTGATTAGGCGGGATGGAAACTATATAATAATAATTATACAGGTCATGCTGCCAAACGATTTTTGGGAGAAGTGTAGGGATTTATAACAAAATATTCAGTCTATATCCTCGTGCTGGGCCTTTGTATTTGCTGTGCTTGTGAACCAGTCATTCATTCACACAAGCACACAATCATTGGCACATTAGTAACGCGATTGGACGCGAGAAGCTGCAAGGATATTCGGTAATTTTTGTATACTATAAAAATCATCTGCCGACTTACGCTTGCGTGGAGAGCGCGAACGAGAGTAACTGCGAGTGCGACTGTGGCTACGTTCGTAGCGATGACGGCTGCGATATTTGCGACGATTTGATGGCGATACTGACGATGACTCTTCGCGAAGGCGACGACGAGGACGATAGCTATCTCGATTGCCATATTCACGGTCACGAGAGCGTCTCCCCAGTGGGCTACAACATAAAAAGCTCAAGTAATGACAATTAAACCTTGAAATATGCATATACAAACCGTGATGGACGTCCCATGTACACACCAGGAGTGGGTGTGTGTGGACGTTGTGTTATTGAATAGTCGACGCGTATACGGCGGCCATCCACATCCATTCCTGTACAGGCATCCTTGGCAACACGTGCGTCACTGAGATTCTCAAAGTAAATGAAGCAAAAACCACGAGAACGATGAGTCTGTAATAGTTGTAATGTAAGCAAGCAAAGGTAAATAGTTAGTCTCTTTTTATATATAACAAAATATAAACTGCGTTATATTAGTCTTCAAATTTTATTTCAATTAGTTGGAGTGTCCAGTATTAGCTGATTTTTAAACTTATGAACGTATTGTATCAATAATTAATACAGAGATCAATAACGATTAAAACTAAAATATGGATGTTACAACAAGCCTTTAGTGAATTGCTAGTAACTCACATAGCAAACACTCATTATTGTTGTACTTATATATGATATAGCCAAGAAAGATGGCACTTGGAAGAGGCTAAGTTCCAAGTTGCCCACAGACAGATTATGGCATTTTGATAAATAAGTTGAAACTTTAAAATTTAACATACTTGAGCATCGATAACCATCTGAATACGTTGAATGGGTCCAAATTTATTAAACAATTCGCGCACCTTCTGCTCTGTGGTGTTGGTATTTAGGCCAAAAACTCCAATGCAGCGGCTAGCCTGTGGATGATCCTGCGACAGGATGTTGTCATGAATGCTTAGCAGTAGAAACTGAATTTAAATTGGTGCAACTTACGCGTGCCTGACGCATGCGCTGACGATCGCGAGATGTCCGGCCTGAATAATGACGCAGCGGCGAATCTGACCCAGAGCGCGAGCGCCGACGATGTTGAGAATTTGATTTTGAATTGTAGTTGTGATGACGACTCCCATAGGCTTCACCGTCCGACCTTGAATGGGAATAGGTTAGATTTTCAGTTGGTTTTGCTGGCAGTGCATCTTGATTGTAAAAATGTGTGATTCGGATTTTGACACTTGAGTAATTGAGAATTGAGCTGCTGTAAGATTTGTATACGATTCACCACATTGCATTTTAGAAACAAACTTGCTTGCTCTTCTATCAGCATTGATAATATGCTGTTCTGAAATATAAACAGTTTATTTCATATTTTTCTTACATTTTTAAGTAAATTATTTTTATTTATTTTTTTTTTGGCAAAAACTGAGGAAAGAACCTTCTCGCTTGAAAAGCTAAACCAAATGAAAGATTCCTGTTGACAGTTTAATATGTAGCCAAAATATTTCGCCTGCTGAGATGGCGCCTGTCAATCTTTACTCGATACTCAATTTCTCATTCGATACTCACCGAAGGTGACGGGAACGAGAACTGTCCGAGGACGCCGACGAAGAAGAGTATGAATTGTCAGAACTGAAAGACATTTCTAATGTTTGACTGTTTGCAGTATTACACAGATGTTGCTTAACTCGCATACCTGTAACCGCATTTGTGTTTATCAATTCGATGTAAATGTAAACATTCCTTTGCCGTCACGTTAACGAGCCCTGTGGACTATAGTTCGTACAAACATGTACCACGTGTTGGAACGCTTTTAGTTAGATCCTTAAAGTGGCAGATTTGTATCTATGCTTACCATGTTATTAGGTGTGAAAATATTAAAATTAACCAATACGTTTTATTATTATGATTTATCCGCTTCAAATTCAATGTCAACTAGCAAGGCACGCAGAACTCATGCAGGGCTGCAATGTTTTCGATATCGATAATGAAAAAATTAATAGAAATAATGGCTTAAACAGTTTGTGGTATTTTTTCTTGAATTATTATTGTCTCAAATACGACCAAACATTCAATATTCAAAATCATATTTAAAATTGTAGACAATATATGTCTTCTATGCTATAAATATTCATGTAATGGAAATATTATTATTTCTAAGCTTCCATAAAATACATTAATAATCAAGCTTTTTTATACGACTACGTAGAGTAACTAATCAGTGGGAAAATTTGTTACTTTTATTGTACATTATATATGTGTGAATCACAGAATTTGTAAATATTAAAATATTATACACTTAATTATGATTGGTATTTCATAAACGACACGTGAGTCATGCAAATGTAGTTATAGAGCATTTTTCTCTCATCATTATACAATTCAGTTATCATTTTAAGCATACGATCGTCGTTGTAAGGACTTTTTGGTGGAGCCTCCAAAATATTGCCTTTTACATACCATTTCTTATCTTGAAAATGTCTCTTTACTCTGTCACGTAATCCTACGCCACTAAATGTTGGTTTCCGAAATATTTCACACATATTCTTTTTGCCGTATTTATGGAAAATACGATTAAGGGTTTCATCGACTTCTGGTTGTTTAGCATAATAGATGTACCACAATTTGCGGTCAGGTGAACGCAGGTCAGTTAGATTTAGTACCCCAAAATACTCAATATTTGAGGGATCACATTTGGATGTCTCTTCAGTTTGCTTGACGTGGAACATGCGGTGCAAATATTTCTCAAACTCATCATCAAAATTAACAACTGAGAAATAAAAAATTCTATTTGTATTCTATTAGAGTTTATTTTTTCTATTTACCATTTGACGCCATTATTTACGTAGGCAGGGAAACTAAACTATGTTTCTCGTTCGATACACAAGTTGTACTCATTTGATTTTTATCTTGCTGGAGCTTAAATAGGTAATGTCGTCATTGCAATTTATGTGAAATATTTGGAAAGCTTCGACTTGAATGTTTATTTCATAAGTTTGTTGGCCCAAAGCTGCTACTAAATCGATATCGATACTCAGCCCGTGGATGCGGTGCCAGAGTACGCTAGAAACTTTAGCTTATTTTGAGCTTAAAGCTGAATGCGATTTCGTAAAACTTCTAAACAATACAATACAAAATTTTTAATTTCTTCGATTAATAACGATAGAAGTGAATATATTTATTTGATTAGTACTTACAGGTTCTTGGTTTTTAACTATTACAATAACAGTAACGTAAAATAATAAGCATTTAAGACTTTTTCCAAGACGTATCAATTTATTAGAAGTGTGGAACAGCTGATAGGCTTTCTGTAGCCGGTTTATAGCTTTATCAATCAATTTCTTAGCTGAAGATTTGACAAGTATAGAAGATATTACTTTTATTTACTTAACACTTAATATTCTTAAATATAAGATCAATAATAAACGATAATTTGTTATTTTCATTGTAAACATATGAATCACAGGTTTTTTATATAATAAGATACCAAATATGTATCCCATTAATAGAAATACTTCCGCATTCCATTATGTTTCATACACAAGAAGTTATAAAGCATTTTTCGTTCTTCATGGTGCAGTTCTGTTATTACTTTGATCATTTGATCGCTGTTGAAGGAGCATTTCGCAGGAGCCTCTAGTAAATTGCCTTTCACATGCCACTTTCTATCTTGAAAATAAGATTTTACTCTGGCACGCAAGGCAACTCCACTAAACGTATGCTTCCGAAATATTTCACACATATTCTTTTTTCCGTATTTATGGAAAATACGATTAAGGGTTTCATCGACTTCTGGTTGCTTGGAATAATAGATGTACCACAACCTCCGCTCCGGTGATCGGATGTCAGTTAGACTTAGGACTCCAAAATATTCAACAACTGATTCATCACATTTGGATTTCACATCACATGGTTTGATATGGAACATCTGATGCAAATATTTCTCAAACTCTTCATCAAAATCAATATCTGAAAAGAAAATCATGCCTTGATTGAGTCGGCTTTTTTTTTGTTGACTTTTTTTTAATTACCATTTGACGCCATTATTTGTTAAACGTCGTTTCCCGTTTGATATGTAAATAGAGTTTAGTTATTCGAGGTGTAGCTGGCTTATGCCTAAGTAGTTAATGTCGTCATTGTAATTTATATGAAAAACTTAAAAGCTTCGACAATAATGTGAATTTCATAAATTTTGTTGGTCAAAAGCTGTCAGTGATCAAGTATCGATACTCAGCTCGTTTAGGTGCTGCCAGACTGCGTAAGAAAATTTGTTTATATTGAAAATATTGGCAAAAGGAAATTTCGTAAAGCTATTAAACAAAATAGGTAAAAAAAATAGTAACAACAATTTCCATGTAACCCTACAAAATATGAGTGATATTTTTAAATTAAAATTATAATCACTACCACCCTAGCTGTAGTTTCCATCATGGATACAAATTGTTAAGTTTAGCCATCACAAATAATTAATTTCCTTCTTTTATTATACAAAAAACTTAATAACAGGAAATATAATTTGTTATTTTAAATGTAACTATAAAAAATCACAGATTTATTAAAAAAAAAATTCCAAATTGGAATGCCATTAATAAAAGTAAGTCATGACTCCATTATGTTTCATACACAAAAAGCTATAAAGCATTTTCCGTTCCTCATGGTGGAGTTCTGTCATTATTTTAATCATTTGATCGTTGTTGTAGGAGCTTTTCGCTGGAGCCTCTAGTAAATTGCCTTTCACATGCCACTTCTTATCATCGAAGTAGGCTTTTACTCTGGCACGCAATGCAACGCCGCTAAATGTGTGTTTCCGAAAAATTTCACACATATTTTTTTTGCCGTACTTGTGGAAAATACGATTTAGGGTTTCATCGACTTCTGGTTGCTTAGCATAATAGATGTACCACAATTTCCGCTCAGGAGATCGGAGGTCAGTTAAACGTAGAACTCCAAAATACTCTAGTACTGACGGATCACATTTAGTATCTTTACTTGGGGTGATGTAGAATACTTTATGCCAATATTCCTCAAATTCCTCATCGAATGTTTTACTGACTGAAACATATAAAATACAATAATTAGATTGTATTGGATGACTGTATTTACTTCCTTACCTTCAGACGCCATTATTTTTGGGAGAGAAAGAAATTATGACTTATATCCGATCTGTGTATGATACTTCTTTGAATGATATTATAATTATTTGAAGTAATATATATAAAATACGCAGAAAGCTTTAACTTAAATGATATTTCACAATTGTACTAACTCGAAAATTACTCAGCTGTGGCGCTGCCAGACTTCGTACGTATCGACGCCTAAACAAAAGTTGCCAGACTTCGATCGATTGGCTGCTCGCAGGAAAACAGCTGTTTTTGCTGCAACTTGGTCAATTTGTTATTTAACCAGCAGATTTTAATATAAGAAATGCAAAACTGTATTAAACTTTTGTCGCTTTCAGTAAAGTGCAATGTACGAGCTATCAGTACTACTGCGCCTGTAGCTGGCAAACGCAATTTCCGCAAATTCAATGTGTATAGCAAGCGTGGAACACGTGTGGTAAAAGAAGCGCAACGGACCATGGCCAATCCACCGGTTCCAATACAGAAACGAGGAGTTCGAGATACAGGCATCACTATAAATGGTCAATATGTGGAAATACCTGAGAAAATACCCGAAATCATTGTGCCAGATCTAACGGGCTGTAAGCTGAAGCCTTATGTGTCGTACAAAGCACCCGAAGTAGTTCAATCTGAGTTCACCAGCTTGGATCTCTTCAATGCAGTCTATGCGGAAAAGATTATGGCCGACTACAAAGCTGGCAAGTTGGAAGCCGATGGTAGTTCAAAGGAACCGTCAGAAAATGAACAACTAACACCAGAGGTAGCTCTGATGCGAGCCCGTAAAACTGGCAGTGATATTTTTTAAGACATTTGTAAGCTTTTATTGTTTATTAATTGTTAAATTAACGTACGCTATTATTGCTCCATATACTTTTGACGATAATTGTAAAGTTTGCGGAGCCACTTCTCTGCCTTTAGTTCTGTATCGCCCAAAAACTGAAAACACATTTGTAAAGTATAAGAAATGCAAATAAATTTAAAATAAAACTCACATTGGGATGAAATATGTCGTCTTCTTTTGCGGGCACAGCGTCACTTGGTTTGGGTACGATTATAGTTTCCTTATTTAAGTCAATAATTACTTTCTCCTTTTCCTGTGCCTCTCGGTCGCGTGCACTGAAGAAGGCACTTGGCTTGAATGTGTCCTCGTCTATAGTTTCCAGAGCCTTTTGCACTTTGGCATCCAATAAGTCAATGCCTTTGACAGTTGTCGTCAAGGTGGTAGCCGGGCGTATAGAATTTTCTGAGCTGGGTGCTCGGGTTTTGCGTTGTGATACGGATCTAGATTTCGATTTTCGAGTATCGTTGTCCCTACCCTTACTATGTCGGCTACGAGAACTGCTGCGGGAACTGTGAGGTGTCGTGCTACGCGATGAGCTGCGGCTGCTGCTGCGACTGCGTCTGTAATACTTCTTAGATTTCTTAGACTTTTTCTTCTTTGATTTGGATCTATTTCTATTGCTGCGAGAAGGAGATTTGGATTTGGAGCGGTACCGTTCTCTGTCTCTTTCGCGGTTCCTGTCCCGCTCGCGTTCTCGTTCGCGATCTCTATCCCGATCTCGGTCACGTTCACGATCTCTTTCCCGTTCTCGTTCACGCTCCCGTCTTTCCCGCATTTTATATTTACTTTTTTACTTTTGAATGCTTGAAGGCTTGTTTGTTGTGTTAATAAACAAATCTAACCAAAACTGTTAGATAACAGCGACACAGGGTGTGCTATTCAAATATTTTTAACAGTATGAAACTATGCAAATGTTAAATTTATCTATAGTTGTAAAAACGACACTAGCTATATTAAATGACCAAATTGTGATTAAAGTTGAGCAGAAAAATTTTTAATAGCTATAATTAAAATGCTAAGAGTTAATATTGTTATACAAAAAGTACCATTTACGTTTGAGGGGTTTTTAAATAAGTAGTACAAAGAGAAAATTTTCAAAGAATATTGGCGGGAATTTTTTGAATTAAGATATAATTAAACTACTACAATAAATAAAATCCTGACGCACAATATTTTATCAACAACGACATACGATTTCTATTTATACCAATCATGTTAAATTTGTTTTACCACCAAATCTACTGGTTCTGATTGCTATAAATCAGGCAGTCTACATATGTCGTCTGGTTATCTATTAATATTCGTTAATAATATATGATTGAAGCTTTGGCATTTTGTATTGGCTGATTAAGCTGACCAGGAGGTATATAAGGGATAGTTGAACTTCACATGTGCACAATATAATTGCAGCGGTCAATAGTATCATTTAATTGTGTATAAAATGTGGCTGCTACGATTTTTGGCAGCTCAACTCTTTCTAGCTTTCATCGTCACAGCTTTGCCCTCCAATGCCGGCCGCAGCAGTTCAACAACAACGGTAAATTAAAATTTACGTAAAAAAATTCAAACTCATCGTTAACTAACAAATTATCATCTATAAGGTGTCCATTGTAAAAAAATATGGCTATCCTATTGAGGAGCATCAAGTGCAAACATCTGATGGATATCTTCTAACGATGCATCGCATACCCTACTCCAAGAACACTGGGGATAATGGTCATCGTCCAGTTATGTTCCTGATGCACGGTTTGCTCTGCTCCTCGTCTGACTGGGTTCTAAGTGGTCCCACTAATGGCCTGGCCTTCATTCTATCGGATGCCGGCTACGATGTCTGGATGGGCAATGCTCGCGGCAACACCTACTCGAGGAAGCATGCCGATAAGTCTCCACTGTTTCAGCCTTTCTGGAATTTCGAATGGCATGACATTGGCATCTATGACTTGCCAGCCATGATGGACTACGTCCTATATCATACGGGCGAGGATCAACTGCAATATGTCGGCCACTCGCAGGGCACAACTTCGTTCTTTGTCTTGAACTCGATGATCAAGAGATTCAGAAGTCGAATTCGTTCGGCACATTTGCTGGCACCAGTTGCCTGGATGGGTCACATGGAAAGCCCGCTTGCCAAGGTGGCAGGACCACTGTTTGGACAACCCAACGCTCTCATCGAGCTATTCGGTAGCGCAGAGTTCATGCCAAGTTCCAAGGCCATGGAGCTGATGGGCTCACTACTATGCCGCGATGCTGCAATTTCCCAAGTGATATGCACCAATGTGCTCTTCCTGATGGGAGGCTGGAACTCGCCGTATTTGAATGCGTCAATGATTCCAGATATTATGGCAACAACACCGGCTGGCTGCTCAATCAATCAAATGTTCCACTATCTGCAGGAATACAATTCTGGACATTTCCGTCAGTTCGACTATGGCTCGAGTAGAAACAAGAAGGATTATGGTAGCAAGACACCGCCAGATTACGATGTCGCTGGCATTGATGTACCCATCTATCTGTACTACAGTGATAACGATTACTTTGCTAGTCTCATAGATGTGGACAAGCTACGGATGACATTGGATGAAAAGTCACTGAAACGTGCATATCGATTGCCCGAAGTGAAATGGAATCATTTGGACTTCCTTTGGGGCTTGAACATCAAGGAAATACTTTATGACAGAGTTCTTGAAGATATTCAAAATGCATAATACGCAATAATAAAGACCTTAATTACCGAAAAGCAATATATGCATTTTTTGTTTCATCTATTCATCTATTCCCCTATGAATGATAATAAATATACAGATTAGATGATTTCCCAGATACAGATATAGATACAGATACAGATACAGTTTACATACATAAGCATATGAAATACTTTTTGTGATTCCTTGTGGGAACATCACGCCATATCGACATACTTGTATATGGTATATGTATATATTTTAATTCTAAACCTTTATCAATATTTTATGACTTGAAAAATATTTACCGTTATATTTCATTTCCTATTGATTGTAAATATATTGTACCTCTTAAATGATAACAATAGAAGGCTAGCGCCATTTATGACATACCGGGGGGGTCAAGATTTGACGCAAAAACATAAAGGCTCGGCAATTTAGTAGCTAATCTAATCTACCTTATGACGAAGTAATATATACGGTGTACCGATATTGTCTTCGTTTATTATTAAATAATTAAATTAATAAACAATAACAATTATAAAATATATATTATTTATTACATTTAGCTACCGATTAATTATAGAGTTGCAAAATTATAAACCCATTGACAGTTTGGGGCGTATACAAAAAAAATATGCATGCATACATATGTAAATAAATATAAATTGTTTCACCAATTACTGTGACAGATTTCAAATAATGTTCAATTCGAATTTTATGGTCACTCTATTCTGCTCAGTGCAGCCCTGTTATTCTTATTATGTTTTTCGATATTTAAGCGATTTTGTAAATCTGGTCACACTCGTCACGCAGGTACATCCACGGTACAGCCTCGGCGAAAAAAGTGTATAGTCTAAATTATTTCGAGCATTATTTTGACTAAATAACGTTGCAATATTGTGCCCAGTGCGTTGGGAAAGATGACGCGCATAACTAGAAGTGACATATCACTTGATATGGAATGCTGGGTCGAGGAGCTATCACCAGCCCAGTTAGCCTATTACGAGAAAATTACAAACGAGCACAACGCTGTAAAAAATGCGCTTAAGTCGGCCGTCAGTGCCAATGAGGGCAAGGAGCTGTTTAATGGTCAAGTGTTTCAGGCATACTCCTTCAAAGGTAAGGTGCTGCAGGAGCTGAAGGAGGCTACGTTGCCAAAGAAGCCACCAAAGCCAGAAGTAGCACCCCCAGCTCCAGCTGCAGCTACTGGTGGCACTGGCTCAGGGCGGGGGCGTGGTCGACCTCGTCTGTCCTCGAACATTGCCTACTTGGAGTCCTCAGACGAAGGCGATGACGATGTGCCGCTGGCTAAGCGTTTAGCCCTATCTGCCGGTAAAAAAGCTGTTGCAGCAGCGGCGCCGGCCACATCGAAAGCAGGAAAAAAATCTGCAAGTGCTGCTGTATCGCCCACTGGCAAGTCTTCGCCACAACCCAAAGGCGGCAAAGGATCCAGTTTGGGATCTAGTGGCAAGTTATTAGGCTCTGGCGAAGCTCCGCCCAAGAACTTCCGTCCTGCAGAGGTGAATTCAGTGGGTGGTCTGGTAGTGGGCAGCAACGATGACAGCGCGAGCAAAGATGGCAAGGATGCAAAGGATGGCAAGGATACAAAAATGCAGGGCAAAACATATCCATCGCTGGTT